CAATGTGCCCAAACTTCTCACAAAAAGCCTTATACCTTGAAGGAGTCATACTATTCCATATATCTGATAGGCTTTTTAGATTATTATGTTTGAGGAGTAGGCAGACTTCTTCTAATAATGTAAGGACATAACCAGGTGGCAAACAGCCTCCTTCTTCTAGCTACCTCTATTTTTATTCCATCCTTACATTTATGGGAGAGTCACAATTGAATAATGTAGATGAAATGCAAACCTGATGTTTTGTGGAATCTATTAGGGCTTTGTTGAAATAGCTTTGGGACAATAACACTCTGCAAATCTATAATTATGTTCATGAATGTGCACAAAAAGAAACGAAATAAAAGAAGACAAAGAGATTTAGTTAGCCATTTTAATAAAACATTACATAGCAAGTAAGATAACAATATGACCTTACATTTTGGATTATCTACAAAGGGTGGGAAGATAAGGCTTTATCTATAGTTAGGCTCTTAAGGTTGACTATATAAGGTTTGGGTTAATTCTAAAAGGTCCCTAAATTGTTCCCTACATCATGGTCTATTACAAACTAGTAAGGTACCTTGATCCTCACCCTTCATAGGCTACAAGCGAAAAGGGTTCAATTTGAGTGAGAGTGTTTCGCAGGCCTATGCAAAGACATGAAATCTCACGAGGGCATAGGTACTTCATTCCCTCTTAAAGGTAGAGCTCGGGTGGAGGGCTTATGTTATGCATATGCAAATGAATGACAGGTATATATATACAATAAATAAATAATCAAGCAGATATGAACAAATAAATAAGCAGGTATACACAACGAAAATAAATAATAAAACAGATGTAAGCAATGAAAGGGAATAATTCCAAATTAAGCAAGGATTGGATAATAAGAAGTCATTTACTAGCTTGACTCTCAAAGTCCCTAGCAAAGTCGCCAAGCTATCATAAAGTATAGATCCGTGGATCTACCACTAGACATGGATTAGAGGGAGTCGCCATCAATTTTTTTGTCTAGGTGTGATTGGCCACTTGAAATATATTTCAGTCTGCAAAAATAGATGTTAGGTTCAAGAGTCGATTACGTATGGGAAACATTATAGCACCCCCATAATGTCAACCCAAAGGATGGTACCAATTTGATTTAAAATTGTCCCAATAGTTTGATAGCAATTTCAGATAATTTTCTTACCTCAAGAGTATTTATAGAAACTAGTGTCCCATTTTAAAAAGGCTCTATCATCAGATTAATTTATTTTATCCCTGAAAAATTAGTAAAGCCTCCAAATAGTTTGGTAGGGCTTACTTCAAAGCAATCCTTCAATAGTTTAAAGGATAAAAAATTATTATTGCTTATTTAAAACTTTTGATTTTTTATTTTTTTTGTAGAATTATATTTTTTTTACCTTTTTCTTTTTACTTTCAAAAATAAAAATGGTAAAAACAACTATTTTTTGTTTTTTTACAAAAATAATGAAAAAGTAGGTTAAAAAAAAATAAAAAAAATAAAAAAGAGAAAACTCACAATCGGTCAAGTCAAAGTGTAGGTCAACATGGAGGTTACCGGGTCTGCGTGTGGATCCTGGTTTAAATAAAATGATGTCTTATAGAGACGATATATAAGTCAGGTCCAGTGCCTTTCTGCTCAGAAGCCTCTTCACCTTTCTTTCTAGCTGATTTCCCTTTGCCCTCTCTTTAAAAAACCCATTGACAAATTCAACAACAACTAAGAATCTTATCGGTTTATGGGGATGTCGTCAAAAAATTCAATCAAAAATTGAAAAATCCATTGATTTTTGAAAAATGTGTCGAATTCTGGAAACCTTGTCGGAATCTCATAGAAAACTTCAAACGATCATCGAAAAATTCATGTTCTTCCCAAAAACTCAAAAAAACCCAGAAAAACCCAGATTTCTTTGAACTTTCTCCAAAATTTTCTCAAATTACTCCCAGAAACTCCATAATCGTTCTAAACCCTAATTCTAACTTAGAAACCTAAAATCAAACCCACAATTTCATATTGAACCCTAGATCCCAAAATTAAACTGCCAGAACCCTTTATGCCCAAAATTTCCCAGATTTTTTCAATAATTTTCTCTCAAAATTTCTGTGTGTGTTCTCTTATAAAATCAATCCAATTTATAGGCACTCCTAGGAACAATTTTAAGAAATCGATAGAATCAATCCCAGGCTTGAATCCTGGGATTGCATTCTATCAAGCATGATTTTAGGTCCAAAATTCTTGCTGATATGATTCTACATTTGACCAAAAGATTCTAATCCCAATTCCATCCTTTGTGCACGTGTGGATTGAACAAAAAAGAAAAGAAAAAAAGAAAAGAAGAGGAGAGAAAAAATGAAAATAAAATAAAATAATAATAATAATAATATATCCACAAAAATACTAAAGAAAATAAAAATAATAAAAGTATAATAATAATTAATAATAATAATAAAATAATAGTAACATTAATAAAAAAAAGTTAGCCTACTTAGGCCTAAACATAAATGGGCTTTGTTGGGCCTAGACATTAATGGGCCTAATTAGGCTTGGACACCAATAAGCCTAATTGGGCTCGAACACCAATGGGCTTAATTGGGCCCAAACACAAATGAACTCTAATTGGGCCCAGACACTAATGGGCCTAATTAAGCCCAGACACTAATGGGTGTCTACAGTATTTATGGATGATTTCTCGATTTTTAGAACTAACTTTGATTTATGTCTTATGTCTAAGGTGCCACAAAGATGTGAATAAACTAATTTGGTGCTTAATTAGGAGAAATGCCACTTAATGATCCAAGAAGGAATTATGCTTAATCACAATGTATGTAAAAAGTGAAATAATTGAAATAAATCAAGCCAAAAGTGAAATAATTGAAAAATTACCTTTCCTTATGTCTGTTAAGATGATTAGAAGTTTCTTGGGACATGTAGGTTTATATCAGAGATTCATCCATGATTTTTCTAAGGTTGCCAAGCCATTTTGCAAGTTGTTAGAAAAAAAGGCCATGTTTGAGTTTGATCATGAATGTGCAATCGCTTTCTAAACACTAAAAGAAAAATTAGTAATTACACTAATCCTCTTATGGCCTGATTAGAATGAACCCTTCAAGCTAATGTGTGATGCAAGTGATTCGTAGCGAGAGCAATGTTAGGGCAAAGGAAAGATAAAATTTTTCACACTATTTACTATGCAAGTAAAACTCTTAAAAGGCATAGCTCAACTATGCCATAATAGAAAAGGAATTAGTTGCTATAGTTTTTACTTTTGAGAAATTCAAGTCTTATTTGCTTGGAACAAAAGTGATAGTGTATACAGACCATGTAGTTATCAAATACTTGATAGAAAAAAAAGATGCAAAGCCACAGTTAATTAGATGGGTTCTATTCTTACAAGAATTTGATTTGGAGATCAAAGAAAAAAAAGGTTGCAAAAATCATGTGGCAGACTATTTATCCAAAATTGAGAAGGCAACAGCTGATGAAGAGCTAATACATGAATCCTTCCCAGATGAGCAACTCTTCGCAATCCAAGAACCACTATGGTATGCTGATTTGTTAAATTACATTGTAGGTAGTGTCCTTCCACAAAATTTAAATTATCAACAAAAGAAAAAAAATTTTTATGATGTTAAATATTATGTGTAGGATGACCCATTCCTTTTCAAGCAATGTAAAAATTAAGTACTAAAAAGATGTGTTTCGATGGAAGAAATGAAAAGCATCCTACAACAATGCCATTCATCAAAATATGAAGGACACTAAATAAAAGAAAGGACAACTGCAAGGTATTACTATATGGTTTTTATTAACTAACTCTGTTTAAAGATACATATAGCTTTACCTCTAATTGTGATAAATGTCAAAAAATGTGGAATCTAACAAAAAGAGTTGAGATGCCAATGAATAACATTTTAGAGATTAAGGTTTTTGATATGTAGAGGACAAACTTTATAGGACCATTCATGTTTTCTTATGAAAATATTTATATTTTGGTAGTAGTGGACTATGTTTCTAAATGGGTGAAACCATAGTGTCACCCTCTAATGATGCCAAGATAGTATTAAGATTTTTAAGGAAAAACATATGTTTAAGGTTTGATACACCTAAGGCCATAATAAGTGATGAAGGCACCCATTTTTGTGCAAAATTTTTAAGAAATTGCTAGCTAAATCTAGAGTAAAACATAAGATAGCCATTGCCTATCACCATTAAAACAATGGTCAAGCTGAAGTATTTAATAGGGAGGTGAAAAGAATCCTTGAGAAAATTGTGAACCTATCCTAAAAAAACTAGGTAGCCAAATTATATGATTCTTAATAAGCATACAGAATGACATTTAGAACACCTTTAGGAGTGTCATTCTACCAGATGGTTTATGAAAAAACTTGTCACTTATCAGTGGAATTTGAACACAAGGCATACTGGGCCCTAAAGAATCTGAAGTTGGATCAGAAGTTGACAAGAGAGAAAAGACTATTGAAGTTGAATAAGTTGGATAAATTCAAATTGAGAGCCTATGAAAACACCAAGTTATATAAAAAGAAAATGAAAAGATGGTATGATAAGAAAATCTTAGAAAAGAACACTTTGAGCAAGAACAAGAAGTATTACTTTTTAATTGAAGATTGACACTGGTTTTGAGCAAACTAAAATCAAGGTGGAGCAGACGCTTCATTATGACAAAGTTTTCCCTTATGGAATAGTGAAAATCATGGATGAAAAAGAGAAGCAACCTTTTAATGTTAATGGGCATGGATTGAAAATCTATCATAGAGGAGATGAAAGACAAGTTGAAAAGGTGATCTAACTCATTGAACCAGATCATTAGGTATGGTCAAGCTTGACCAAAACTAACATTGCTTACGAGACAACCTAAGTTCTACATTGATTTGTAAGTTTTCTTAGTTATTTGTTTTTGCTAGGACAGGTATGCTTTTATCTATTGTTTGTTTTGAAGTTTTCATAAGATAAAGACATGCAAAAATATGCCAATAGAGATTACAAGTTTTAGCCTTTGAGGAAAGCAAAGATTGGGGAGTTTTTTTTTTTTTTTTTTACCCTTAGTTCTTAGTTGTTTCATGTGAATATTATATAATTCAAGTGTGGGGGAGGAAAGCTTTTTTACCTAAATTGTTTTCAAAATTTTTTCAAAATATCCCTAAAATCTTTGTTTTCAAACCAAGTTAACATGTTATAATCTTTATAATGCCATCTTAGTTGATTTTTCATAAGTTGTTTATGATTGAATTAAGTATGATATTAAGACATGTATGAATGTAGTGAAGCATGAAAATGAAGTCTTAAGTATGATTTTCTTTTGATTGTGATTTTTATGTTTTGTGCATTTAGTCTTAATCTTTGATATGTATCAATATTTGTGAAAAGATTGTGAGTATAAAGTTGCATAAAGATTTGAAGCATGAGTGTAACTTTAGAATTTACCTACTCAATCCTCAAGATGAATCTTAAACTATATTTGATTCAAGAAATGATTTAGGCATTATTTGGAATGTTTGAGTCTTTCAAACTCATCTATGAAAAAGTATCCAAATACCTTTATATGTTACCTGTTCCTTGTTTATTTAACCCTAACAATAAGCCAAGGCCTTTTTATGATTTATCCTTTTTATTGTTTTTACCGAACTCACATTGCTTGTGCATATGTAAGAGATAAAGTAAAAAGAACAACTTTGTCTTTAGAAGGAAGGGAGGTGTAAGGCAAGACAAAAGCAATGAATAAAAGCCAAAATGGCTAATGAGAAAAAAAAAGATGCCTCAAGTTTTGAAAAGTTTCAAAAGTTCTCAAAGTCCATGTTCGAAAAAGTAAGCAAAAGGTTATAAGCCTAAATTTTCCTTTCCTACCTTTTGATCTTGAGTTAAGTGTGTGAGTCTATAGTAGTGGGGATGAATGAGGAAAGTAAACATATGAAGGTATTTTATCTTTAAGTTAATATGTGATGGCATATGTTGCATACTATTTACTTAGATTGTATGTATGGATTAAAGATAAATTAACTTCATTGTCATAAAAGTTAAATGAGATTAAAAGCTTACTTTTGGATAAGTTTCTTATTTAATTATGTTCATAACTTTATTTGTATTATACTATATTGCATGATTGATAATTTGTGAAACTTTGAATTTGTGTACATTTGAATTGATTACTTACTATAATTAATTTGAGGGTTTTACTTAAAGACAAGCAAAAAGTTAAGTGTGGGGTTTGATAGCAATAAAAATTATAGTGATTTACAAGTCCAATTTAGTTTAAAATTTTGAAAATTTGCTTGAATTTGGTGTGCTTAATATGTGATTTCTTGATCTTTAAGTTTAATGCATATTGGATGTGAAATCTATGTGATGCAATGCAATGCAATTTTATGCAAGACTAGGTTAATTTTAATCTAAGTCATATTTGGCCATACAATAAGGGAGAGTTAGCTAAATCCTACTTGCACTAGAACTCCTAAATCCATTCAACTACCCTACTTACATGAGGAATCCTACAAGCATTTGGTAATTGAAGAATCCTACTTGAACAAGGACTTCTACAAATACTCGACCAAGAAGATGTTTTATTAAAAGACTCTTTGATCATCTTGATAGAGTTTTCACATAAGATAAATGCAATATAAGAGATAAAGACTAAAGTTTATATGCAAGAAAGAATTTTGGAGATTTATTTCAACAATTTATGATTGATGCAACAATTTGTGATAATCAACCTTAGCCAAAATGCAAGAAGCCCTATTTAGGAAAGACACTCCATCTCCATGTTCGTTCACAACACTTTAAAATCAAGATAAAGCTTAATCTTTTTAGAGTTTAATTTGCAAAAAAAAACTTCTAATCCCAATCCCCTTGGTCAAACCTACCTTTATAAATATGCAAGCTCTCTTTAATTGTAAATCACTTAATTCTCATCCCATTGTTCTTTTTATTTCTTTCTTGTATTTTTGGTTTTCTTAGTATTTTTGCTAGGGTGACGAACTTGCTTAAATCAAATTGTTTTTAGTATTAGCTAGAGTGATAGACTAGTCCAACATAAGATTGTTTTTCAATTCTTTCTTAAAACAAGCATTCTTTCTATTCAAGATCTTTTACAAGTAATCTTTAAATCTTGTATTATGCTTTCTTTTATTTTTGGCCTACAATCAATCTTTCTTTTCTCAAAAGCTTTCAATTATTTTAGTGTTTTTGTTATATTCAACCACTCATTAAACTTATAAATGATAGTTGGATAGTTATTTCTTGGCTTATCTACACAATTGCTCTTTTACTTTGTTTACTTGTTTTAACTTTTAATCAACCTTTCATTTCGATCATTTAGATATAAGGCTAGTAGATTGTCAACTTTGGTACTTGATTTACACCCAATAATTACAATATATAATCCTCATGGGATGATACTTTACTTACTCACTTATTACTTGATAGCGATCTATGTTCTTGCAAGCAATATAGATAGAAGTAATAAAAAAGAGAGCCAATTAAAAGCCCCTCGCAGCAAATTATATGCCCAAACATAACACAAAAATTTGGCACAATAATTGGTATAATTCTTTTGTTTAAAGAACATGTTCTAATTTCCTTAAACTTTTTAATTAAAAAAATGTACAATCAATAGTCATGCGATCTATTGATAGAGCGTTGAACTTTTAATTTTACTGACCATGCCTCAAACCTTGACTATTTCAAATACCAAAACAAATAAAAGTCTAACGATGGAAACTATTACACCATTTATTAATTTGAGATAGCATGCATCACCAATTAGCCATCAAAGCTTCTTTTGCTACTTCTCTCTTGCTATGAGTTCACTATAGTAACAAGAAAAATGAAAGGTAACATTAGCATAATTTTAAGTGAAGTACTTCGACATATATTAAGAAAGTCAAAATTGGTAGTTTTAATAAAATTGTGAAGAGAACAAACCGAAGCGCACAAGTGAGTTGTGATGCTTTGGAAAAGTCATTATTTTCCTTAGCTTTTAGGATTTGGATCATAAGAGCAAGGCAGATTTGGGTGCTAACACTTTGTTGAGTTATGAGGATAGTCTCCTTTCGAAGTTGCTCACATTCCAATTCAATGGCTTCAAACTTTTCTCTTAATAGTCTTTGCCCCTCTTTTATCTTTTTTTGCTCTTCATTTATTTCTTCCAACTCCACTTTTAACATTTTCATGCATAAGTTTAGGTTTGTCAACCTTCTTTTCTTCTGTTAGAAAACAAAAAGTTCTTCTAAGAGAAACAATTTTCAAAATTTGAAATTTCAAATATAAGGTGTTTTTATACATGTTTAGAGGACTAAACAAATATACTTCTAATTCTAAGGATAAGAAAAATTCTAGGTGAGTAAGCAAGTGAAACCAACTTATGAGATATTGTTTGTTTTAACTAAATAGATGCAAACACAAGTTGTTTTGATACATGTTTAGAGGACTAAACAAATATCCTTCTAATTCTGAGGATAAGAAAAATTCTAGGTAAGTAGGCAACTAAAACTAACTTACGAGATATTATTTGTTTTAACTAAATAAAACTGCTAATAGCAATGGATCCAAGATTTTTTGTTCGAAATGTCCACTTATTATAATGGGTGTCTATCGGATGTTGGGTGTTGAGGCTATGGGTTATGGTTGGGTATTGAGCAAGGGCAATGAATAGAGTGGCTAAGGAATTAAAAAAGATATGTTTAAGAAAAAAATTTGGGGTTATAATAGGAACATTATGGCGGTAAGTGAAAATTTTCTTTCAAATTTTCTTGTTTTCCAAACTTTTGATGGTGTCTATAAACACCTTAGCCTTATATTTACATCTGTTGCATAATGGCAATTTTATCCATTAAAACTATTTTTCAACTATATATGGATACAAGTTTCTAAATATATGCTAAAGACAACAACCAGCTGTGCCAGGGCAGATCTTGCATGGCTCAACTCTTTGATATTTCCAAATTTATTCAACCCAAAATGACATTGATTTACTATTTTGAACATCAGTCTTGACTAAAAAAACTCCATAGCCTATATATTTGACTTGATAAAAAATTTATTTTCATAACAATTAGTTTTTGTATAATTATATCTCATGTACGTGGAAATGCATTTGAATATTAAGTTAATTTCTTAACAGATAATCTTTTAATAACAGATACATGAGAACTTATCACAAATAATTATTACACTATAATTAACAAATCTCGATTCAACTTTATGTAGTGACTACTAAAATTGTTAAAAACTCATATATAATTCTTTATTGTGGTTAGACAATTAAAAAATTGAAGAAAAAAATTATAGGTAAAATGTTTGATAAAATTTTTACTTTTTAGGGCATTTTGTTTGAAATATTGACTCAAATTCCAAAAGATGTAAGAAATTTGTTTGAGATTTTTTCAAGATTGACTAGATATTACTTTATGCATAAGACTTAGAATATAAGAATTATAAGAGTAAAAGGATTATTTTTAGATAAGCTAGAAGTCTTATAAATAATGGAAGTCTCAATATGTACGAGAGAAAAAGGTTAGGAGATTATTGCACTACAATTAACAAATCTCAGTTCAACATTATGTATTTTTTTTTTTTTTGCTAAGCTAAATAAGTTTATTGATTGAGAGATTAAAAAATCTCTCAATTGCCCAAAATACATCCAAAACAGAGAAGCCCCAACAATGAAATTTCCTAAATACTAAGCAATCCCCCAAAAAGGAAACCAAACTTCCTAAACAAAAGATGATATCAAATAAAGCTAGAACCCTTAATCAACTGGTACAACTCTAACAAAGAACCTCATACAATGAAATCACAACAAAATAGTAGGTAACCTCTTGATCTTGATAAAAAAATTAGCACTAAAAACAAAAAGATCACATCTCACTACCATCTTTACTTTATTAGTGTGCTTTTTGAAAATATTGAATCCAATATGAAAAGATTTTGTAAGAAATTTGTTTGAGATTTTTTTGAAATTGAATAGATATTGCTTGATATACAAGACTTGAAATATAAGAATTATAGGAGTAGAAGGATAATTTTTAGGTAAGTTAGATGTCTTATAAATAATGAAAGTCTCAATAGGTATAAGAGAAAGTGGCAAGGAGTAAGGTTTTAAGGGTACACACCTCATATGATTAAAAAAGTCAGAGGTCCATACCAGTGTATATATTTGAATGTTTGAATGTTTTGTGTGTAAAAACTTCATAGAACCTAAAGGAGAATGATAGGGTTAATGGGTATGAGTAATTATTCGAGTGTTGATTGATTTAATGTGTTTGTAATTCTTTGGAATTAAAAAATCTTTTCTCTTATTTATAAATGTAGGTAAATAAAAAGTCGAATTACATTAAATTATTATTTTTAAGTAAATAATTTATAATTTGATTATACTTCTATTTACTTTAAATAAATGAAATGATTAGGATCTTTTAGCCTAACACACTTAATAAAACTTCAAATAAACTACATCGATGATGATAATTTAAGTTAATGCTGAATAACAATAACAATAACAAATACAACAATTAATGATGTAAAATTAAGATATATACCTGATGGCCTCTCTTTGATTTTTTGGAACGCATCTTTGTTGCAACTGCGAGCTTGGAGTTCCTCCAACTTAAAGCTGTCGCAGGCATTTTATGTTATTTCCTTAGAAAACCTTTGAAGTTTGAAGTTTTCAGTAGGGAATTACTGCATTTCCTCATCAAATGGAAAGCCTTTATATACTTGGTAAGCGGAAAAAATACGCTTGAAAACTTCAAATGGCCCGATCATAGTTTTTTTTTTTTTTTTAACAAAAAAACATTTGAAAATTACTTTAATGAATATTTTAAATTTTTTGGTCAATGACTAAAATAGAAAACAATTAGAATTGAAAAAATAATTTCTAACCTATCTACCAAAACCAAAATTGAAGAATGTTTATTATACAGCTGGTCCAGCAACCGACAACCAACCTATCTACGAAGATTACTTTGATTTTCTATCGTCAGATCAAAATTTAAGTTGTTGTCACAGTGCATAGACAAAGAATACATCGTATTCCATTGATCGTGCAATACTGCAAGGTTTAACGTCTGTGTCGAACGATTATAGTTTCATTTTCGCTTGGTCTAGCGATCCATCGATCGATGTTACTTTTATTTTCAAGCTACTGATTTTTTATATTATTAGTCCCTTTCGGTATTCAGAAAAGCCGTGTGCATGACTAGTTTATATATATATATATATATCTCAAATACTTTAAATAGATAAATGCTAAGTCCTAATGTCTTTCTATTATTACTATTTTGTCAAATACTGTTCAATATATAAATCTTCAACAACTTTCTACACTAATAAATTTCAAAATTCCTGGATAATGGTTGTGATGAATATATTAAAAAACAGATTAAAAAAATCTAACCGGAAATAAATACACGTTAATTAAAGATTATTTAATTATTAATTAATTTTTTGCATTTAATTTACTATTTTATTAAATTCCAGAGAGAACGATTCATTAGTTGCACAGTTTTTAAATGTCATCTTAACCGATATGACTAGACATCTAATGAGAGAAACTATGTCTAATGAAAGAGATTGGGATGTTTCCTATGGAACGCTTTCCGAATCAGGTGCGAAATAATAATAATAATGATGTAAACGTGATAGTTTTATATTTTTAAATGAATTGAATCACATAATTAGATCCGGAAAAATCTCATTAAAAAATAATAATGAGAGAAACTATGTCTAATGCAAAAGATTGGGATGTTTCCTATGAAAGGCTTTCTGAATCATATGAAAAAAATAATGATACAGACGTGATTCGTTTTAAAATGTATTGAATCACATAATTAGATCCGAAAAAAATCAAAGTATGTAAATTCATGCCGATAATCATGCAATTTCCTGGTAATTTCTCCCATATAATAAGTTAATTTGGGAGTCCCTTTTTCTTTGACAAGTTATTATGGACACGTCAATACTATTAAAGAAATGATGGAACGAGGAAAATGCACGCTACCCTGCGTGAAAATGCGTGTGCAAAAACAAAAGCATGGGCTACTTTGAAACAATCAAACAATAAGTAAACTTGACAAGTTTGGAAAAACTCACCAAAACCTTCACCTCCTTCATCTCTCCGACGTTTTCTTCCCTTGCAGTTGTTGTACAGATGAGAAATCGGATATTATCCAAGCCTGAACTCAAGCTCTGGCCGATTTGATTTTACTCACCAGCCTACACATATTGGTCCACCCCCCTAGTGGCTGAAGCTTTAACAGGCAGTATCCCATCTCACTCTCAGCAAATTGTGATTCAGAGATTTCGGAAGAAGATGCTCTTGGCTCTTCAGCAGGATCAATCTAGGTTACGGTTGGATCGAAACATGCAGCCCATCATCCAAGCCGGCCTCAGGACCAAACTCAGACCTTAAATCTCTGTTAGTTTTCGTCCTAGAGATACTTTTGTAAACCATTATCCAAGTCTAAGGCTCCCTGGACCCTTCACCAAGAGTCAAGTCCTGCTGGATACTTTTGTAAACCAAATGTTAATGTAATTTCTTATTGATCAATAATATATTTCTTCTCTGTGGGAAGAATGAAATCTTCAAAATATTTCAAATTCCAACGTACGTCTCAATCCGCATCACCTGATTACAAAAAACTTTCCACTTTTGTTATCAGGTTGATGTCAGGTTCTTAAACGGGACGGACGTAAGGACAAAAAAAAGATTAAACCGGAAATATACAAGAACAAAACTTAGCAAGGAGTTGGTATGTGATATTTTACTGAGGAAAAATGTTCTTAAAGGAATGAGGAAAACGGAGAGAGAAGCAAATACAAACAAGGGATCCTTTAAAATATACTAAAAAGACGGGCAATAGCAAAGTTTTTGTAGAGAAGACATATAGTTAACTTCGGGGCTAAGCAAAGGCAGCCTTGCTAATTTGGGATGTTGGCATATAGGTATATGTTTTGTGTTTGCTAAAGTTTATTTTAAAAAAAATACCAGTCCTATCCTATGCGCACCTACTACATGCATGCTTGGATAAAAATTACTTTCTGTGGGAGCAAATTAATATATATATAATATTAAAATTTATATTTGTTATATTATCAGTATATTAGTTATATACAATATTTTTAAATCATAAAATATCATATCATTAATGAGCAAATTTTAAAAAAATTAAAAGTTCAAAATGTAAATAATAAAAGTTGACTGCAATTTATCTTTAAGGATATCTCAACTTTCAATTTTACTCATTAATAATATAATAATGTACGATTCACTGGTGATGTATAAAGTATACAAGAAAAAATGTAAATACAAATTAAGTGTAATAAAATTTTCTTTGTGTTTACATAAAGATAACACATTATAGTTTTGTGTTTAGTTTATAATGTAAAAATTAACAAAACACTACTTTGTTTTTTTTAGGATGATTCTATAGAAAATTGTCACCCATAATGCGTGAGCAAAATCTTATATGATAAATAACTACCGAAGGGTAGTTATGTGGGGTGTATGATCTAAAACAAAAAAAATACCTTGAATGGTTATTGTTTTTGAATTAAAATGGACAAAAACCTCAAGCCATTCTCTTCTTCATGAAAAATGGCAACCAACCATATGAGAAAAACATGAAAAATTTTTTCTTGAGGCATGAATATGCCATGGTCTTTTCTTCTCTCAATAGGACTTGGTGTTCGGCCATGATGAGAAATAAAAATGATGAATATGTTCATCCAAATCAAGAATAAGATAAGTCTCATTCATGTGGGACTATGTGATGAGTCATATAGAGAACAAGAAAGGAAAAAAAAGAAATCGGTGTAAAGAAGGAAACTTTTAGAGGAATCTCATGCTTCAGTGTTAAAGGACTTATGCTATGGATAATGCAAAATTTTCGAATGAGTGATCTTGTCCTTGATCAGTGAATCAAGTCGACATCACTTCCATAACCCTTTCATAAAAATATTTTTGCTATGTTTTGGCAATTCAAATAAGTTTTTTGCATCATTTTTTAGATATGATCTTTTTCGTATTATTATATTATCCTTTATTAGTATCAGAGCCAGGTTGGCTTAATTTCTGGTTATTTCAATATTTGTCTTCAAACACTGAAATTGTAGACATGTTCTTAAGTTCTTATCGAAATGTGTCAAAAAATCTATGGAACACAAAAGTGTGTAATTTTGTTGTAGAAAGTTGTTATGAATGTTTTTAAATATTCAATTGCAAGTTACCATTATCATTTAGATTAATTTGGATTAAGTTTTCAATTTTCAAAACTCGAGCATTAGAATTTTTAATAGGGCATCTGAATGCCCTTAACAAAACATCAATTTTTTAACCTATTTTTTGAATAAGCATTCAAATACTTTCTTAAAAAATTTGAATGCCATACATGATTTTTCAACAAATTCAAAAAATAAAGAAATTTAAAAATAAATAAATAAATGTTTAAAAAAAATTTTAATAGTTATTGGTTAACTTTAGGAGGATGAAAAGCATAAGAATGATTAAAATATGTTTTAATCATTAAGCGAGTTGTGTGTTTTCATGTAATTTCTTATATATATGTTATAAAAAATCATGATAATGAGTTCTCAAAATGATTGTGAGAACTTCTATTGTTATAAAAACTTAGAAGCAATTACTTAGAGTCATAAGCCTACTAATTGAATTAGCGTAGCAAAAACTAGATCCAAATGATGATGATATTATGTGTCATATCATCAAGGGTTAACAATAGTATTAAAGAGTTGATTTTGTAAGGCAACATGCATGTATGGAGGATCTAAATATATGTATGATGTTGAATAGATGCACTCTTTACATTTAGACAAAAGAATCTTTTCAAAGATATTTGGATGTCTAACGAGAGAAAATGTCCTAGTGTTGCAACTTTGATAAAAAATTTTATGATTTTGAGAGAAAAGGACAAAGAGGAATGCGACCTTTTTTATTGGCCCAAATCTCCATAATGGCACATATAAAATTATTGAATCTTTATGGATGGTTAATAAGAATGTGGAACTGTTACAGAAATTTAGGGATTCCATCTTAGTCACTAGACCAGTGATAGTACTGATTGGGAACATAGTTTAATAAACATTACGTATGTTTAATGATGGAATTAATTCATGTGTTCAGTATGTACATGTCATATTGGACTTATTTATGTAAATTTCAATCAATGTTTGTCATTGATTGAAGGTAACCTTATGGCTAGTGAGAGTTATAAGATAATTGATTTGTTCTATCTTACAATGATTAATTTTGCACAATGAAATAAATTAGTGATAATCAAACACATTAAAAATAGAATTTGATTATGAACATAGTGATCTTTTGGTTTCATTTTTATGTGAATAATTATCATTGTTTTATTTGTAACATTATGATAAAATATATGTGTATAATGATTGGCATTAATTAGTGCATGGGTCCCTGAATATTGAACTAATTTTTTAATATGGTATTTGTATTTAAGTATATGGTTATTGAATGGGGACAATTATGAAATTTGAAGTATGAAAATTCAATACGTGTTAGAAGAACAACAAGCTCTTGAAATTCTAAACATTGTTCTAGTTGAATCCGAGTATAGGAATACGTTTGAACATAGAAAGGACCAATGGCTTGTGAAGCCTAGATAGATAAAACTTTGTTGCTCACATTACGTTGCTAAGTAGTATGGAGAATAATATCATACATGAGTTAAGTTTGCATGATATTGCTAAAAAAGATGTAGAGTGCCTTGACAACAAAATTTGTATAAAAAGGAGGTTGATCACACTTTTACAGATGAACATAAGGTTTAAGTAATAATTTGATCCTTGCCACATAATTGAGAGCACATGAAGGTGCATCTAAACCACAATGAAAGTATAAAGACTCTTAATGATGCTTTTCATCATCTTCAATTAAAGAAAGATCGTATAAGAAGCATTCGAGCCTAGTGCTGATATATATATGGCATACAAATGTTCAAAGAAAGCTATGAGTTTTAAGCATAGGCCACATGGTGAGAACAAGGAAAAGTTCCTAAAAGACCAAAAAGTGGTCAAAGTGGTTAAGAGAATGATCCCTAAGCTCAATCTAAGAAAAATAAAGCTAAATTCAAGTGCATTACCTATGGTAAATATAGTCATTTTGCTTGTGAATGTAATGAGATGAAAAAGACTCATGAACTACAAACCATATAGCACAAGATATGAGAAAAATATATTTATGTAGAAAACAATCAAATGATTAAAGTAAAAAGAGTTGGCATCTACAAGTTAAGTGTGCAAGGTGGAAAAACTCTCACCCTATATAATGTCTTGTTTGTTCTTAATATTTGATAGAATTTAGTTCCTATCACTATTCTTTTTTGTCTAGGATTTGTTACGAATTTTAATAACACTAATATCGATTTGTTTTTAAAAAAAATCGTTATGGTTCTGAAAGTTTATTAAATGGTTTTGTGATGCCAATATTAATGTAAATGTTTGGCACGCTAGACTTGGCTATATGGTTCAACATATAATAGAAAGATTAACAAAAGAGGGATACAATGCCCTATATGATAATGTTAATAAGCTATTATATGTAAATTGTCCAGCTAAAAAACTAACAAGAAAACCATTTGATAAAGAAACTAGAGTTAAAATTCTATTAAACTAATACATTCTGATATTTATGACTTACTATATGTAAGGACATGCAATGAAGGTTAATATTTCATCACATTAATTGATAATAACATATGTTTTAGTTTTGTCTATTTGATTTTTCACAAGCCTAAAGCTTTAAAGTGCTTTAGAAAGATTGTGTACATTGTGAAAAATCAATTAGAAAAAAGCATTAAAGCATTAAGAATTGATCATGAATATGAGTACTTATTTGATTAGTTTAAATAGTTATGTGATGAAAATGATATTGATAGGCAATTAACCATTTCAATGACTTTACAAAACTCTTCTAGAAATAGCTAGGTCAATATTGGTCCAAGTGAGTTTGCAAATCACTTTTGGGGTGAAGTATTTTATCAACTGTCTATATATTCAATTGAATATTCTTTTAGTCAATTACAACCACTCCCTATGAGTTATGGATTGATAGAAAACCTAATCTCAATAACTTAAAAACTTGAGGTTGTACTATCTATATTTTTAAGTTCGCTCATTAACATGGTAAGTTTTAGATCCACAATGCAAAAAGAGTATATTTGTACGATATGATAAACATTTCAAAAAGATATGTGTTCATAAGTGAACAATCAAGTAGAAATGTAACTGAATTTTGAATCTTGGAATACCACTTTTCTAGAAAATGAGTTTCCAAAATAAAAGTGAGATGAGTCAAGAAATGTCTTGTTATGAGATTAGAAGCACGAATGATTTGGAAAAATACAAATTAGTTGATGCATATTCCTAATCAATAACAAATAGTATCTTATCTAAGTGGAAGCATGACTAAAGTTGATGAATTTATTGAATTTTTTTCCCAAGAATCACAAGTCAAACAAAAGAAAAATGGATAAAGGCAATGGAAGTAGAAAGAAGGAGTTTAAGATTAAACATTGTATAAGAATTAATTAATCTACCCAAAGGATATAATTCTAGCCATGGCATGTTTAGATTTGGAGTTACATTAAATGGATGTGACAAATGCCTCTCTAAATGGAGAACTAAAAGATAATACTTATATGGAATAACCTGTAGGTTTCATTCATAGAGGTCAATAGCACAAGGTGTACAAATATTAAGGTATAAAATCCAATCCAGGTCAATCCCATTGAAAAGCCATGAAAAAAATATTAAGGTATCATAAAGGCACTGTGGATTATTTTTTTGTTATCAAGAAAGTGGTTTGCATTTAATTGGCTATATGGATGTCAATTGGAAAAGAGATTTAAATGAAAGAAAATTCTACCTTTGGCCTTGTTTTCTTACTGAATATTGGGCTATATCTTAGATCGGTAAAAAAGAGACTTGAATAGCACTATCCACAATAAAAGTTGAATTTGTAGCATTTTCAGCAACAATGCAAGAAGTTGTTTAGCTTATAAG